TATATATATATATATAATTTAAGTGTATTTATTCTTTCCATAAAAAAGAGACAAAGAGGGAGACACAGAAATTTTTTGAAAAGAAGTTCTCCCAGCAAGGCTCAACACCTTTACTCAACCCACTAGCTTCAGCCCATCCAAGGGTATGGGCGTGTGCACACCAGGCACACTTATGGGGGTCTCCAGATAGGAACTCAAACTTTCCCATGGAGTCAGTCTTGCAAAGTGTCATTTTTATTGCTGCACAATCATATTGCCCCACATTTGATAACTTTTGTCTTTTAGAAAATAGCCATTGAGACCTCATGGTGGTGTTGATTTACATGTTTCTGGCAATTAGCGATATTAAGCAATTTTTTTCATACTTGGCCATTCATATGTGTTCTTTTGAGAAATGTATCTTCATGTCCTCAGTTCATTTTGTAATCAGGTTATGTATGTATGTATTTTGCTTTTAAATTCATTGAGTTTGTTATATATTCTGAACAGTAATCTGAACATTAACTGAATTTTTTTTGCCTATTCTGATGTTGTTTCTACACACTATTGTTTTACTTACTTTGTAGAATTATTTTAGTTTGATATAATCTCATGTGTCTGTATTTGTTTTTTAAATTTCTTTTGGAAAGGTTTTTGCTTTAGGGTGTATGCACTTGCCAGAAAGACAGAGAGAGAGAATAAAAGCAAGAAATCACCCCCAGGGAGAATGGCCACGCCGCAATCCCTTCTCCTCCATTCTCCTCCTGGGATTTCGTGCATGCATGCACATGTACCCAACATGAGTTTAGGCCACCGGATTCAGGACCCAAACCGTGGTGGACGACATGGGAGTCCAGTGACATAGCTATTACATCAACTGCTGGTCCCTATATTTGCTTTTATTACTCAGTTTGAGGACTTACCCCACAAAACTGCACAGACCTGTATCTTGAATTATTTTCTGTGTTCTCTTCTAACAGTTTTATAGGTTTTTATTTGAACATTATTTCATTTTTTTGCCTTTAAAAATTTACATCTAATTATTGTGTATTTTGTTTTATGTTTTAATTTTTAATCTGCTTTTCTCATTTGGATATCTAGTTTTCTTGACAACATTTATTAAAAATAATATTCTTTCCCCATTCTTCTTGTTATGCTTGTTGGAAATTAGGTGAATATAAGTAATTATTTATTTCAATTTCTCCTATTGTGTTAAATTGGTCTATGTTTCTGCCACTTTTTGTTTTGCATTTTTTTCATATCCATCCTTTTACTTATTTATTTAGAGAAATCTTTTGGGATAGGGTGTATGCTCTCTAGAGAGAGAGAGAGAGAGACAAGAGAGACAGAAGGCAAGAAATCACCCTTCAGGAGGGATGGCCACACTGCTGTCTCTTCTCTCCCACTCCTCTCTCAGGATCTTGGGCACTCATGCACACATGCCTGGCATGAGTTTGAAGCCACTGGGTCGGTGACTTAAGCTGTGGCTGACTGCATGAGAGTCCAGCAATGTAACCATTACACCATCTGTTGTTCCCTCCATCCTGTTTTTCATACTGTGACATTGTAATACAATTGAAAGCTGGTAGTTTGAGTCCTTCAGCTTGTTTTCGTTTTTTATGTGTTTGTGTATTTTGCTTTTAATTCCTTGAGACTTCCATGTCTTTTGTTATTGTATTCAAATTTTAGAATTATTTCCCCTAGGACTATGAAGTCATACATAGGAAGACAAGTTTTGCACATGTTACTCATAGATGGAAACTAAAAAGTATATCATATTGATTGACAGCCATTGGTTAGCAGAGACTGGAGTAATAGAATAGAAAATAGAGTGACAGCCGTTGGTTAGCAGAGACTGGAGTAATAGAATAGAGGTGAGAACAGGGTAGGGTTGGTTAAAGCTACAAAATTACAGCTAAATAGGAACAGTGTTCTAGCATATTGGGGTCAATATAGTTAATAATAGTTTGTCATATATCTCCAGAAGATTAAAAGAGAAAATAAGTAATGTTCTAAAAACAAGCAAGTGATAAATATTTAAGGTGGTAAATATGCCAGTTATATATATTTGACCACTACATGTTATATTCTTGTATTGAAACATCACACTGAAACCCATAAATATGTACAATACTTACATATAAAATATTTTAGAAAGCTATTTACTCTAGGAAGATTCTAGAAATCTCTTGCCTGTTTGGCAGTGCTGATAACAAAAAGCAGGAAAGCAGGACATTACAAATGAATTTATGACTTTTAATAGAGATTAATAGATTTTACCATGGCACCTAAAGTACAAAACTACTTTACGACTTTGTACCTATTATGCATCAATTCCTTTATTATTTATTTATGAATTTTTAATGAGAAAAAGAGAGAAATTCTCCTTAGTCATCTCACTGAAATTCTCCCTTATTTCTATAGCCATTCAAGATTATGCAAGCAACTATATGTTCAGGTATATCCTGGAAACAAACCCACAACCCTCCCATATGGCTTCCAGAATTGTGTAGCAATTCCCATAGTACCTGTGCGATGTAGGCTGGGTCACAGGTCTATTATTTATTAACTTTATGAATGTAAATGATCTTCACTTTTCTCATCTGTATTTAGAAAATTTAGTGCCTTTAATCAGGGCTATTGCAGTACAGAGGAAAGGCAAATTATGTGGATATATTGGTTAGGCCAAAAAAAAAAAACGAAAAGAAAAGAAAATGCTTCATATGTCCACTACATATTTTTACTTAAATAATAATTATTCATATTTTTATTGCTAAAAATACCTGAGACAATTTTGGAAACGTAACATATCAAAAATTTGGAATGCTGCAGAAACTTTACTTAGAAAAATATTTAACTTTTAATCTAGCTTCCTAAAAATGAGATGAAAGACATCAAATCCATACTACTTAAGACACCATGGAACTACAAAAAAACAAAAGCAGAGTAAATAAAAAGCTGCAAGAATGAAGACATTAAGATTAGAATGGTTACAAATAAGAATAAGAGACATTGAAAACACACCTACAACAATTGATTCTTTCATATCAACAAACTAATAAAACTCGAGATAGGCTATACTGGAAAATTAAGAGAAGATACAAATCAATACATTGGTATGGAAGTAAAGACATTATTACTGACCATACAGAAATAAAGAGTATAGGAGAATTCAATGGATAATGAATAACTAATAAACTCTAATAATTGCTCAGTACCCAAAATGTCAGAAAAGGCCATTAATGGAGCCAGCAGTTAGCGTAATGGCTATGTCGCTAGACTCCCATGTAGTCGACTGTGGTTTGCGTCCCAGACCCGGTGGCTTAAACTCATGCCAGGCATGTGTGCGTGCGTGCCCAAGATCCCAAGAAGAGAATGGAGGAGAAGGGATTGCAGCATGGCCATCCCCCCTGGGGGGGGGTGATTTCTCACTTTCTGTCTCTCTGTCTCTCTCTGTCTGTCTGGCTAGTGCACACGCCCTGTAGCAAAAAGAAAAAAAAAAAAAAGAAAAGAAAAGGCCATTATTCTGACATAGTACTGTTCTTTGGACTTTTTAATTTTTTTTTAATTTTATACATTTACTCACTATGCATCACTTTTATTGTGAATTAAATGAAATTTTAATAACTGGCTAAGTTTAGTTTCACACAATGCCTATTTCAAAAATAAAACAAAAACAAGTTATTGTCTTTCATTTTAAAGATTTTCTGTAAGTTGTATGTATTGCCTGGAGAGAAACAGAGAGAGGGAAAGTGAAGAAGTACTTCCTCAGGGGATGGCCACACTGTAATCCCTTCTCCATTCTCCTCTTAGGAGTTTGGGCAAGTATGCACTTGACATGTTTTTCAAACTGCCACATCTGGGACATGAACAAAAAATTGGTCATGTAGAATCCAGTCATCTTAACCACCATACTACCAGCTGATACATGAACCATTTTCAATTACTTTACAATAGAATTAAACTTGGAGTGCTTTTATGACTCAAAATTCTAAAAATATCATACAGACCTATGAGCAAAAACCTTAGAATATGTTTCCTCTGGAATCGTTTCTGTTTTTTAAACTTTCCAAGCAGTTCTTACCAGGTCTTAGCAAAATAATGTAGCACTTGGGAACAAAGATGCAACCTAAGAGTTCCACACTGGAGGCCAATATGGAGAAGACCTCCACAGCCACCATGAACTTGCCCTTGGTGCTGTGGTAGACAGGGAGGTATGTGATCCAGACACTGCAGAACACCAACATGCTGAATATGAGGAACTTGGCTTCATTGAATGTGTCAGGCAGGTTCCTGGTGAGGAAAGCCACAGTGAAACTCCCTAGAGCTAAGAAGCCCAGGTATCCCGGGACACAGTAGAAGGCAGTGATGGAGCCCTTGTTGCATATGATGATGATGTGTCTGGGCTCAGAGTATGAGTCTATGTCAATGAAAGGGGAGGACGATTCCAGCTAGACTGCACAGATAATAACTTGGATAAGAGAGCAGATAGGAATGGCAGTGTTAGAAGCCCCTGATAGCTGCAAATGCCTCATTGTTCTTCCAGGCTTCATGGCTTTAAATGCCAGAATCACAGTAGTGGTTTTAGCCAAAACAGTGGAAACTGCCACAGTGAACACAGGCCCAAATGTGGTTGTGTTAGGATGGATGGCCAATGAAGAGCAAAAGGCAGAGGAAGCACAAGATGAAGGAGATGAGCAGGATGAAGCTGAGAACCTGGTTATTCACCTTGACTGTGGGAGTATGTCCGTGCTTCACAAAGACTATAGCTGTGACCACAGAAAAACAGAGTCATGCAGGCCATGGACATCCCCCCAAAATCTACAAAAGCCAGGAAAGTTTCAGACTTGGGGAGGCAGTGTGTTCTCTCACTGTTTGGATACTCCTGAATTGGGCACTTGGCACAATGCTCTGCATCTGGTAGAAAAGCAAAACCGAATATTTTAGTCTCAAAATTCTTTCATCTGTCTGTGTGTTGTTGAAGTAAATAGTATTTTATGTGTCATTTTTACATACAATAGGTGTATGATGTGATACTGACATACACCTATTAAGATTCTACACTGTTGTCAGCAAATGGCATAGGGCTTACATTGCTGGACTCCCACAAGGATAACTGCTGTTCAAGTCTCAGATCTGGTGGTTTGAAAATCATGATGAGCACATGTGCTTGTGTGTTCAAGATTCCAGGAGGACAATAGAGAAGGAATTACGGAGGGGCCATCCCCTCAGAGGATGATTTCTCACTATCTGCTTGCTGTTTCTGTTTATCAAGAAAGTGCACACACCCTAAAGCAAAAACCTCTAAAGCAAACAAGCAGAGTAAAAATATTGATGACTTCAGGTGGATTCTTTTTTTGTTGTTTCTCCATCAAGTCTATATTATTTAAAAATATTTTATGTAATTTGAACAATAAGCTATTAAGAAGTAATCTGCAATTTAACAGACTCACAACTTTGAAAATTTCACTATCATTATGTTGGTATCTTACGTTCTAAGCCATCTCATTACAGATTTAGCTATTTATTGCTTGGTATGTTCCTTTTTTGAAACATATTTTTCTTTTTCTTTTTAAAGTTTATTTTATTTTAATTTAATTTCTTCTATGCATTCAATTACATGTCACTTAGCTTGTAAAGTGAATTTTCCCAACGTGAGTATCCACACCTGTCCACCAGGATACTATACACATTTTCATCAACAGATAATCAATTTCTGTGTCTGATAAATGTCTTGCCTCTTTATTTCTCTCCTTAATGTCTTTTCTCACACACTCTTCCCTCTCTCACCCTCTTCTCACACTGTATTGGGTTCATCCTGTGGTTCAACAATACCAAGGATGTTAATTTATTCCACATCTGTTTTCTTCTCTCCACTAAATTTCCCGCCCACATTTTGAGTGTTTAATTACCATGGGTTTTAATATTGTCTTAATACAAGAGAAATTTATGGTTTTCTAGGCCAACAGGTGACTTCAATATTTAGGCAGTTGGACCCCATATGACCAACTTTGTGGTTGAAGTCCTGAACCCAGTGGCTTTAAAATCATGCTGGGTGCATGCAGCAACATGACCCCTCCCCTCCCCCCAAAAAAACAAAAACAAAAACAAAACAGAAAATAAGGTTGAAGAATAGTGGCATGGTCATCCCTTGAGAGGGTGATTTCTCACTTTCTCTCTTTGTTTCTTTGTCTTCCTGTCTCTGGTGAGTACACATGGCCTATATCAAAAGAAAAAAAAAAAAGAAATAAAGAAGAAGAAAAGAAAGAAAGGGGAACCAGCAGTTAGCGTAATGGCTATGTCGCTGGACTCCCACGTAGTCGACCATGGTTCGCGTCCTGGACCCGGTGGCTTAAAACTCACACCGGGCGCGTGTGCGTGCGTGCCGAAGATCCCGAGAGGAGAATGGAGGAGAAGGAATTGCGGCGTGACCATCCCCCCTGGGGGG